TCTATCTTTACCGTTTTTCTTAGTTCGATCCTTTTGGTTATATCTTGATCTAGTAGAATAAAGTTTTAGTATGATCTAGTTTTGAGTTTTGTTTTGATCTCTATCTATGTAATTGAGTCCGTGAGTTATATATAATAAAGATTAGTTTTGAGTTGAGGGCTTTGCTATCTTTCTATGATCTTGAGGGAATAAAAGAAGGAATAAAAAGAAATAAAAAGATTATATTGATCTTATGGAGAGTAATGACTTCACATATAAAGAGTATGATGAATAAAAGTTGTTGAGAGTTGGCAAACATAGTTTTGGTCATCGTTGCAATTAATAGGAAGTAATAAAGAAAGCTAGGTTTTCACATATAAATATACTATCTTGGACATCTTTTATGATTTTGAGCACTCAATATAATATGACATGCTGAAAAGTTGATGTTGGACAAGGAAGACAACGTAATGAGTTATGTTTTCTTATATCCGAACAAGTTATATTGTAATGGATCTTCCAACATGTTGAGCTTGCCTTTCCCCCTCATGCTAGCCAAATTCTTTGCACCAAGTAGAGATACTACTTGTGCTTCCAAATATCCCTAAACCCAGTTTTGCCATGAGAGTCCACCATACCTACCTATGGATTGAGTAAGATCCTTCAAGTAAGTTGTCATCAGTGCAAGCAATAAAAATTGCTCTCTAAATATGTATGATCTATTAGTGTGAATAACCTTTATACGAGCTTGTGATATGGAAGAAATAAAAGCGACGGACTGCATAATAAAGGTCCCTATCAGAAGTGGCAATATAAAAGTGACATTCTTTTGCATTAAGATTTTGTGCATCCAACCATAAAAGCACATGACAACCTCTGTTTCCCTCTGCGAAGGGCCTATCTTTTATTTTTACCTTCTACCCTTATACAAGAATCATGGTGATCTTCACCTTTCCTTTTTACACTTTATCCTTTGGCAAGCACTATGTGTCGGAAAGATCCTGATATATATATATATATATATATATATATATATATATATATATATATATCCACTTGGATGTAGGTTTTCATAAACTATTATTGTTGACATTACCCTTGAGATAAAAGGTTGGGAGGCGAAATTATAAGCCCCTATCTTTCTCTGTGTCCGATTGAAACTTCGTACCCATAAGTATCACATGAGTGTTAGCAATTGTGAAATACTAAATGATAGTTGAGTATGTGGACTTGCTGAAAAGCTCTTATATTGACTCTTTCCGATGTTATGATAAATTGCAATTGCTTCAATGACCGAGATCATAGTTTGTTAGTTTTTAATGAAGTTTCTGATTCATACTTTACATTGTGAATAGATTGTTACTTTAGCATAAGAAATCATATGACAATATATATGTTGCTATTCTAACGATTATCATGATGCCCTCATGTCTGTATTTTATTTTATCGACACCTCTATCTCTAAACATGTGGACATATTTTTTGATATCGGCTTTCGCTTGAGGACAAGCGAGGTCTAAGCTTGGGGAGTTGATACGTCCATTTTGCATCATGCTTTTATATCGATATTGATTGCATTATGGGCTGTTACTACACATTATGTCACAATACTTATGCCTTTTCTTTCTTATTTTATAAGGTTTACACAAAGAGAGAGAATACCAACAGCTGGAAATCTGGGCTGGAAAAGGAGCAAATATTAGAGACCTATTTTGCACAACTCCAAAAGTCCTGAAAATCCACGAAAGTCAGTTTTTGAATATATTAGAAATATTGGGTCAATAAAGCACCAGAGGGGGGCCACCCACCACCATGAGGGTGGAGGGCGGGCCCTACCCCCTGGACGCGCCCCTGCCTCATGGGCCACCTGGCAGGCCCCCAACATACATCTTCTGCTATATGGTGTCTTTTGCCCTGGAAATATCATAAGGAAGCTTTGGGGACAAAGCGCCGCCGTCTCGAGGCGGAACCTGGGCAAGACCAATCTTGGGCTCCGGCGGAGCTGTTCTGCCGGGGAAACATCCCTTCGAGAGGGGGAAATCACCGCCATCATCATCACCATCGATCCTCTCATGGAGAGGGGGTCAATCTCCATCAACATCTTCACCAGCACCATCTCCTCTCAAATCCTAGTTCATCTCTTGTATCCGATCTTTGTCTCAAAACCTCAGATTGGTACCTGTGGGTTGCTAGTAGTGTTGATTTCTCGTTGTAGTTGATGCTAGTTGGTTTATTCGGTGGAATATCAATGTTCATATCCTTAATGCATATTAATACCCCTCTGATTATGAACATGAATATGATTTGTGAGTAGTTACGTTTGTTCCTGAGGACATGGGAGAAGTCTTGTTATAAGTAATCATTTGAATTTGGTATTCGTTCGATATTTTGATGAGATGTATGTTGTCTCTCCTCTAGTGATATTATGTGAACATCGACTACATGACACTTCACCATTGTTTGGGCCTAGGGGAAGGCATTGGGAAGTAATAAATATATGATGGGTTGCTAGAGTGACAGAAGCTTAAACCCTAGTTTATGTGTTGCTTCGTAAGGGGCTAATTTGGATCCACATGTTTCATGATATGGCTAGGTTTACCTTAATTCCTTTTTCATAGTTGTAGTTGCTTGCGAGAGGGGTTAATCATAAGTGGGATGCTTGTCCAAGGAAGGGCAGTACCCAAGCACCGGTGCACCCACATATCAAATTATCAAAGTAACGAACGCGAATCATATGAGGATGATGAAAACTAGCTTGATAGTAATTCCCATGTGTCCTCGGGAGCACTTTGCTTTATATAAGAGTTTGTCCAGGCTTGTCCTTTGCTACAAAAAGGATTGGGCCACCTTGCTGCACCTTGTTTACTTTTGTTACTTGTTATTCGTTACGAATTACCTTATCACAAAACTATCTGTTACCGATAATTTCAGTGCTTGCAGAAAATACCTTACTGAAAACCACTTGTCATTTCCTTCTGCTCCTCGTTGGGTTCGGCACTCTTACTTATCGAAAGGACTACGATAGATCCCCTATACTTGTGGGTCATCACCAGCCACCGCACCAGCCACGACAGGTAGGGAGGAAGGCACCTCCTTCCACACCTAGTCAGCACCAACCATCAGATTTGGGTCGACGTCTCCACCGTAGGAGGCGCCCACGCCCACGACGGCATCCCCATTTGGTCTCGGTGAACTCACAACCTAGTGACTATCGATGGCCGCACTACAGCGGTGAGCTCACATACTGCCACAACCGTAGCCATCAGTGTCGATCCATCCGACATTATAGCAGTGCCAGGAGGGGCCGAATCAAACCAACACCACCAACCCGCAGACAAGAACCGCACAATGCGCCATTTATGCAGGCTAGGTCAGCCCTTAGAACCTGCTCGCCGCCGACATCGTCCACCACCATTTACCAGATCTGCGCCACCCGTTGTAGCATGCCAACGACTTGAATCACACCGCCATAGAACCTATCAGCCGCACCACCCTGTCACCACCCAAAGGACCATAAGCAGTGCCACCGTGGATCGCGGCAACACCATTCAACCTCCATTAGTGAGATAGGTCAGCACCATGTTGTCGTGATCCACCTCCCAGCCAAGAGCCACATCGGGCCGCCACCACCCCCTTGCCCTACGCATGCCGGTCCACCAGAGCGAAATCCAGGTGGATCTAGTCGTAAACTAGCCCGCACACCACCTCCCCGTGCAACACCACCAGCCCTCCCATGGCACCCCTTGCAGCTCCGCCGCAACCACCAATCACCGCGTTGCCGCCTCGCGCTGTTGCCGAAGGAGAGCCGCCACTCCATCGTGACCTTGGGTGTCCGGCACCACCCAAGCGGATTGCGAGAGGAAAGGACCTCTGTCACCACCTCGGTCGCCCGGGCTCAGCCCAATTGCTTCCTCCAGTGGTGACAGAGGGCATGCCAGGAGGTGCGACGGGTCCTGGCTGCTAGGTTTCGGAGCTCTTCCCGAGTCGCTCGAGCAGGGGGCGATGCGGGGGCGTGGGCCATAAAAGACCCACACTAACCATCAAGAAAATAGAAGTCGGTCACATTGTGTCACCTAGTCCAACATCACACAACAACATCAGTAAGAACTTTAAAAAGCAAATCCAGAGCTTGGCAAAACACCATGTCGAAGACATTTGAAAAGAATTTATCCTCATGATCTCACCAGACCAATTTACTCATCAAAGAATACCCATTAAAAAGGCCACACCAAAGAACCAAAGCATGCTATATGGTGTTTCCTAACCTCTTACTTACAACAAACATGTACTTTCTGAAAAAAGAAAATCCCTTGAAAAGCAAGCGAACAACAAAACAAGACATTTGAAATCAGTCTATCATCAGGATGTCACCAAACCCATTCACTCATCCAAGAACACCAATTAAAAGGCCCACACCAAGCAACAAAGCATGTTGCAGGGTGTTTCCTAATTTACGGCATGACCTCAAGAATCTAGCTAAAGCTAATCTCCTCCCCCAACAACAAAAATTTATTGCAGGGTGTTTCGTAATTACAACATGACTTCAAGAATCTGGTCAGGTGTTGTCCATGGTGGCTGTGGTAGTTGATATTTTGTCCTAGTGGGCTAGTCCGTCTAACCTTGATCTTTACGGGTCTTTTTTTCTCTTTACTCTTTTCTTATTGCATTCATACATCCTAGTCGTGCAGACAAGTGTGTACTCATTGTGTTCTATATCCCTTGATTAGACATTAGGAGCCAATAGAAAACACTATTTATCAAAAAAAAGTGGCCCGTAGTCGAACACCATATGCACAACACTGCATATCTTGTGTACTCGCTGTGTTCTGTATCCCTTGATGAGACATTAGGAGTCAATAAAAACACCATTATTATCAAAAAGAGCGGCCTGAAGTCCAACAAGATATGCACAACTGTGTAAAAGGATAATAGTCGAAATTGATCATCATATAACAATGCATCATATCATGGCTTCATAGTGAGATCAATAATGCTGAACATCTTGTTTGTAAAGGTAACGATTAATACTCATGACACGCTTCTGACAGGCTCATGGCTGCATCAACTGTAATCTGCTGTGTAGCGATAATTGCATGCGCCAGATTAAGAACCAGTCCCTGGACATTGCCACGTATAGTGATGTAGCCACTGAGCTTACTAGAGTCGGCCTGCTTCTCTACGCTGATGTTCGCCAAAGCATCCTCGCCAAACACACTCTTGCCGTAGAGATTGGCAGCAACTAACCCGCAGTCCCCATCAAGCGCAGACCTTATGTCAAAGATTCATATGAGAAAAACGTTACCAATTACAGCTACGTTCTTCAGTGCAACAATTTCTCGGTGACAGTGATCCAACGAATTACCTCAGTAATAGCAATTCTCAAAGTTCAAATGTGCCTCTACATTGAAAATATGGCTATCCGGACAGTTCTAGTATATCAGTTCCTGGAATGGAAAATAAAATATCCATTTGGGCCTCTAGTGTGTGCAAGTTTCGAGAAAAAAAAAGTTTGATTTGGTGAAAAGAACTGAGGTACTCCCTCCGTCTCATGTAAGACGTTTTTTGACACTAGACCAGCGTCAAAAAACGTCCTACACTATGGGACGGAGGGAGTATATTTCTTCTAGTTTGTTGGATTTGATACTCCACCAGAATCTTAATTACACTCGAGACCTAGGAAACAAACATTTGTACCCTAATGCCGTAATGGCCAGTTCAAACAACAGTTAATCTAGTATATCTGAAATACAAAGACAGTAAAGTAGTAAACAAATTCATGGTTTGTTACTATAAAATATATATCATGCTCTTGTGTGTGACTATATTTTAGAGGTATACATAGCATTCATAAAGATAGTGTATTATTAATGTACCAAAGCAGGAAAAACTGTCGCCTGCAGATTAATGTGAAAGGTAAGTTTTCTTTGAACTTACAATGGTGTTACACATGGCATTTTTACTGACTTGATGATAAAATTTACAAATTCCCTCCCATCATGATGCTCGGTATTGACCTTCAACTGACGAAAAAGTAGTTTAAGACAAACACATACAAATAACACTGGAAAGGAGCAGAAAAATGATGGCAAGACATGCTATTGCTAGCAAAGTCGAATGCAATTGACTGAAAAAAGGCATCAAGATAGGTATCTATACTATTGTACCTTAACTTTGCACCAACACTCAGCCCACATTTTCCGGAAGGCTACATCAGTACATGTAGCAGGTGTCATGTAATCCATGATGCTAATGCTCATATCTTTTAGGATCACCTCTGAAGGCTCCATTGCATCTGAAGTCTCATAAAAGATGCGACTAACTATAACTCCAACGTTCGTTGAGGACATCTTAATGTTAGCCTGGATTTGCTTGCTTGCCTGAGGAGCCACGGTGTACTTCTTACTGCGATCAACTACTGCGGTTTTACTCGCCGTGGCAAACTCCAACCACAGATTGTGCAGTGTTTCTTCTGTTCGGTTTATGACTGTAATATCAAGCACAGTATCATAATACTCATTAACGGTAACAAATCCTTCAGCATACACAGGATCACTGAACCCTGTCAACTGAACAAGGGCGTTCAGTTTTTTTGTATCATCTGCACCCTTCATAGATTCACCAGTTGCAGCCTTTAAATCATCTTGGACCTCATCTTCCAACTCAAGTCGGTCCAGTCCCTACGAAAATAAATACAAAATAATTTAGTTAGGCAAGTAAAAATGCATTAGGTTTCCATGAGACCAAATCATCTTCCAACTCAAGTATTTTTTTGTCTCGCACCCTCCTGCTCTTCAGGTGGTAGAAATCAATGGAATCATCAGGATATGTAAGGGAACTCTGTGCCTGGACCTTCATCTTCTCATTCTGCCTAAATTTTTTCTCAGCAATGATCATATTTGCGAAGCTCTGTCGGCACGAGAGCAACCAGACCTTCCTTGAATGATCATCATCGGTACTGCAAAGCAACCTAACACAAAACACAATCCTGTCATATGAGTCAATGTCGATAGGGTGGGGAAGGTAAGAGGACTTCCCCAGCCACAGCATGGACACCATGATCAGCAAGGCCTCTACTGATGCCTTGTTTGCTTCAACCTTAGATGGCTGAACCTCCTGCAGCCTCACCACAAGCTTGGTCAACGTACACGCAACAACAGCGGCCAAGTGAAAATCTCCTGACATAATGAGAGCTCTGAGATTCTGCCTGTAATCGAACACCCCACTAGTAAAAATGGAATCATCGGTGGCGGCACTATGTGTGGTGTATGTGTCACTTAGAAGAGCAACAAGTAGTCTCTTAGAACATACAGTTCACGAGTCCATGGCTGGATGGGCTGGCTTCGATGAATCAACTGACTCGATTTCCTCGGAGTCGGCATAGAAGGGCTGATCTCCAAGTGACTCCTTAATGGCTGCAATGGCTTTCTCGACCTCACATAGCGAAAGCGTGTACTCCCCAAGGATCCAGAGAGCACATGAAAAGATGAAGGATTCCTTGATCTTATAGAACGTACCGATCAGCCCAGATACAATGGAGGAACGAAGCAGAGGTTTGTCCTCGATAATCTCACGCAGAAACAGAACCACATCGGATGCTGAAGCAACGTCGCCGTAACGAAGGTGGCCCCAGAGGAGGTGCACCACCGGTCCAACCACTTCTGGGTACGGCACGGCACAGACATGGATCGCCCGGATCAGCATATGGTAGTACTCATCACGGGCTATGTGGAAGACGCTGCCCATTACCCCATAAACCTCCTCCTTGAGGTAGTGCACCACGTCCTCCACATTTCGTGTGGTGAGCAAACCAGGCACTACCAACTCCAGAACCTTCCTCCTGACATCCAGATCAGGCCTGCCGGCGAGCGAGCGCAGAAGTTCCATGGTGAAACCGACCATCATATAATGGTGTGAGCTGGACAGCTCGCGCAGGCGGTCCAGGATGATGAGCTTCACGTTGCTGTCGCTCTGGGAAGTGAGCAGCTGGAGGTATGTTCTTGCGATCAAGGTCGGCGCATGGGACACAGACGAGAGCGTGCACGCGCAGCCGTACATGATAGCGGCAGTTGTGGCAGCGGAGAGGAGGGAAATGATGATTTTGGTATACGCGCTCCTGAGAAGGTGGTTGCCAGCAGAGTAGACTCTGCGAATGAGTTGAATGGCGGCCATCTGGAGGGGGGCAGGCCACTCGGTGACGCGGGCGGCATTGGCGAGCAAGTAGGCAATGGCGCGGTCATGCGAGCAGTCGCAGAGCACGAGGAACGCGTTCGTCCGTGCGGCTGGGTCATGCTCTACGGCGAGGGCACGCTCCGCGAGATCCGGCGCGTCCGGGATGAGCTTCTCCTGCTCGATATGAGAGCAGGGCAGGCGGCAGATCGCTGACATGGCGGAGAGCGCGTGGCGGCGGACGAAAGGGTGCGGATGCTTGAGGTTGGCAAGAATGGAGGGCACGAGCGGCTCGAGCAGCTCGGGGTCGCGGAGCCGACAGAGGAACCGCAGTGTGACGCCTCGGACATACTCGTTGGGGTGCTGGAGGTTGCTGCGGAGGTAGTGGCGGACGAGGATCATCTCCGGGACGAGCTCGCCGGAGGCTTCGTCCCGCTTGTCGCGGGCGACCTCGAGGTAGAGGAGGAGGAGCCTCTGGATGATGTGTTCCTTGGAGGGGAGGACGTAGCGGACGACGGTGGCGAGGAGGTGGGGGGCCGTGTCGCCGTTGAGGAGGAGCACGATGGAGCGCTTCAGAGCGTCGACCTTGGCGCCCACGTCGCTCCCCTGGAGGCCAGCATTGACCTCCTCGGACGTGGAGAGGTGGATCGTGTAGAAGAAGGGCATCAGAAGGGTGCACGGGAACGGCGACTCGTCGACCATGGTCGCCGCCTCGCCGGATTCGGATCAGATCTGCCGTGCCGGAGAGATCCGTTCGGGAGCCATCAGTCGTCTCTGCCGACCTGGTAAGATTTTTCCTGTAAACCCTCGGGTGAAATGAAAAAGGAAACGGGACCCTCTCCTAGCGTGACATATAGTACTCCCTCCTTCCCAATATATAAGGCGTGATTACCACCGGGAAAAGTAGGATCTGATCGCACGAGGCGATCAGGAGGCGACGAGGCCCATCTCCGTCTCTCTCCGTCGGCCGCTCCGGCGGCGGGAGGGAGGGGGAACCTCAGGTCTGTTCGCTAGGTGGGTGTGTGGTAGGGTTAGGGTTGAGGGAGACGCTGCCGAGGCCGTTGTGGTGGTGTCGCGTCGGAATAAGTTTTTCCGGACTCTGTTCGCGGTCAGGCGAGGCTTTTGCCTTCGTCTAGGAGCCAGCGGGGTTGGGGATCCCTGGATCTCGTCGAGGTCGCGGGCTATGGTGGCTGGAGGTCCATCGGCACTGGCCGTTTGGGTTCTCAGATGGGCGATAGATGCAGGGAGACGAAGACCCTTCTTCCTTGTTGGTATGATTTGCTGATGCTGTTCTTCTCCTTCCTCTGCGCTGATCCTGGTGGGAGATCCTGCTTTGTTCGGGCGGACGGCCCGGCCGCGGTGCTGGACCGGTCGGATGACTCGAGTTCTCTTTCTTCCGGAAGGGACACTTTTCGCGGTACTCAAAGCCAAAGATGGCGACGGCTATTGGAGGTGTGTTGGATTGATGCTCATGCCCTTTCAGCGCTGGTGTCAAGAAAGGAGGAAGCAGCGTGATGGCAATTGTACCGTGGTCGAAGATGATGACCTGCTTGCAACTGGTTGCAGATCCTTCTGCTGCAGGGGTCTTCTCTCAAGATTCAGGGATGATGACCCAGGGCTCCGAAGATCTTCTTGTGTTATGGTTGTTTTATGATACTCTAGGTGTTCATGGTCCTTTGTGTTTGGGTTTCAGTGTGCTTGTAAGGATCAACTTCGTTATACTGATTCGTGATATGAATGAAAAACTTCTCAAAAAAAGGTGTGATTGACTTTGCACGGTCATTGATGAAAGACTTTGATCACTAAAATATACTCCCTACGTTCCTAAATATAAGTCCTTTTAAAGATTTCAAATGGATTACCACATAATTCGGAAATGAAAGAAGGCTACGGAAAGAACAAGCAACGGATTTCGCCAAAAGCGGCCTTAATAAACAACTGTTCTTTCCAAGGAAAGAGAGAAAGAAGTCAAAAGGCGGGGGATCACCAAGAGGTGGT